CAAGTTTCCTAAGAGGAACACATGTAAAGTAAGACAAAGTGTGTTTTCACAAATATTGGGCACAAAAGTCCTTTAAGATAGAAAAGATTTACTTAACTCTAGTGTGGATGGTTTTATCTGCTTTAAACAGCATAGGACTGATAGAAAAGCATCACTAACTGCAGCTAACCAGATGCAGCTGGTATCAATTGTTTGATTAAAACATAATAAATGCTAATTTACCCTTTAGACCAGGGATTCACAAACATTTCAGCCAAATATAACAGTGTTAATCACTGGCAACCCCCTAAAAGCACAAACAGGCATTCCAGTTTATATCTATTTTTAAACATAGATATAAGTATTTTAATTAATTTATGAATAAATTACATTAAATTACTTAATAAATTATTTCAAACGTAATATTGATAATTCAATATATTTATCAGTCTAATTGTATTTAATATCTCCATCATGTATTAGATACATATTTAACTTTTTCATGAAACATTTACTTATTTAATTATGTATTTTGGGCCTCCATACAGCCGTGATGATATTTGTGAAAATCATCTCATGACCCCCACTCAGTGTCCAAAGATGTATTCAGTAAGGTGATACTGAACACTATAATTCAAAGTAAAGTCTTTCTCACCATTGTTATTTGGTCCTTGTAATTTTTCTATTGATGGAAGCCTAATATAGTTTTATGAGCTCTTTGAATTGTGATGTGTGCTTTAAGGCTGTAAACTGCTCTTTCTGTTCGTCGGCTAGTTTTACCAACAAATTGCTAAAATCTGGTCTTTCATTTCCTCATCATCGTCATCAAGCATCGTCCCAAATGATTGAGGCAAAGTCTTCAATAAGAAAGTCATAAAGTTAATGTTTAATGGGTTAGTGGCCTCTTTCAGTGAGATTTACCACATTTTATAGAAAATTGTCATTAAACTGCCAGAGAGCCATCAGAAAATAAAGATATAAAAGAAAAATATTGGTGAGCATTTTATGATTAGAGGTTCATAAATTCTTAAGTAATTTTAAGATCCTTTTATTTCTCTTGAATTTTATCTTTTACAGAGGTGTCTTGAAATATCCATAAAGAACTATGATAAACCTGATTCATGCAAAAAAAATCAATTAATGGCAGATTTGTAGTCTAGGATTTAGTTTTTTTTTAGCATAAAAGTGACTTTATCATTTTTTTTATTTTATTACATGTTATTAAATTTATTTATTTTTTATTATTATTATTTATTTTTTTTATATAAAAAATAAATAAAAATAAAAGTGACTTTTTTTATTTTAATTTATTTTATTTAATTTTATTTAATTTATTTATTTTTTATTATTACTTATTTTTTCATATAAAAAATAAAAATAAAAGTGACTTTATCTTTTTTTATTTGAATTTTTTATTTTATTTTATTTTATCTAATTAATTTATTTGTTATTATTATTATTTTTTATATATAAAAAAAATAAAAATAAAAGTGACTTTATCTTTTTTTATTTGAATTTTTTATCTTGTTTAATTTTATTTAATTTATTTATTTTTTATTATTATGATTTATTTTTTTATATAAAAAAATAAAAATAAAAGTGAATTTATCTAACTATCTGCTAAGATCTGGCTGTATGACGTAAGTTGCATATTTATTTACATCTAGAGCGGGTAACCGAGCATGGGGGGGTAGGGGATGCATTTCAACACAAACTGTGAACACACATAGCTACAGCTGTTAACTTGTTACTGGATCGCCAAGCATTAGTGTGAGCACCGAGTTTGAACTTCTCACTAAGCTGCATGTTCTAAAGATGACCGGAGCACAAGTAAATAGAACCACCTCCCTTACTGAGAAAATGTTTACAAGAACGTTCCAGTCAACCCATGTCATTTAAAATAAGCACCAAAACATCAATGTTGATTTTATGTTTTTCAAATACATATATGCATACTGTTATCAACATTTAGATTTTAACTTTTAAGGACACTCTCTCATTCTCTTTGTAGGAAAGCAAAAACAAAAAGTGTGACTGTACGTACTGAAAGATACTTACAGAGCGTGTGCTGGCTGGGGCAGATGGGCTGGTGAGGGACACCATCTCCTGGATGGCCAGGCGCAGCTTGAGACGGTGGAGTGGGTTACTGATTCCGATCTCCCTCTGGATTTCTGTGTCGGACAGGTTTGCCATAATGGCACCGCTCTTTACATTGGCACGACAGGCAGCGACGTACCACGCTGGCATGCCCACCCACAGCTGAAAGGAAGTGAGGAGGATTAATTTAACTTTCAGTCCATTCATTTATTACCACTTCAGGATGACATACCTCTAACCAAGAAACAACAGTAGGTCCATCCCAAGATGCAAATGGAAGTCCTTGGCGACAGGCTTCTTCCAGTAGTTCATGTCTGACAAGCGGAGCAATAAGAAAGGAAGTTAGATGGAAAATTGGAAATCATTTAGAATACACTGGAAAAAATCAAAATCTAGATAAGCAATTTTTTCTTAAAATAAGTGCATTTGTTCTTGGATTAAGGAGGTAAAAGAGACTTTTTGCCAATGGAACAAGACAATTTACACTTGCAGTACAATTGCAGTGTCTTATTTCAAGTGTATGTAATCTAATTATCTTATTTTAAGAGTAAAATACTCATTCCATTTGCAAACTATCTCATTAACCTACTGAAATTAAGGATAAATACACTTAATTTAAGGAATTTTTACTTATTTCTAGATTGTTTTTCCAGTGACACCATTTAAGATTGACCAAATTCACATACTTCTTTTTGCTGCGACGGTCTTTATCTGCTGGACCAAGAGTTCCTGTCTTGTTTATCCCCATTGCGTCTCCAGTTCCGAGGTCTTCAGAGGGAGTAGATGCTGAGAGAGACATAGAAAGATCAAATCTGTCTCGAAATACAAAGCAAAGCAGCTGAACCCTGTTTAAAAAGACACAGATGTAACACTTATCCTTTACCGAGAGAAGGGGTTCCATCTCGACCAGGTTGACCCAATCGTCCCTTCTCCTTTTTCCCAAAAAGCCGGCCAATTGACGACTTGATGCTTTTCTTTTTATTAGACTTGTGGAGAGAATCTTGGCTGCTGTTGGAGCTGCTGCCATCTGCAGAAAGGCTGCGACATTCAGAGGAAATCAATGAGAGCAAAAAATAAGAAACAAACACTTTTTTCTGGGTATTCTGGAAATGTGATCTTACCTCCGAAACTCCCGGGGGTCGTCGAGCAACGCACCCGGATGGGTGAGGTTCATTCTGTCCAATCGCAGCGCACGAGGAGTAGGAGGAGGCGTGGAGTCGAGGAGAGCGAGGGATCGATCGTCCTCTTTGTTGTTCTGGAACGTAAAATGTTAACTCAGTTTTAAAATGCACATAGATTTTGTAACGATATTGCTATCATGAAACTGATTCTTCACATGGTTGCCATTTTTTTTTTCTTGCTCTAATAAATGACTGATCTTAAAGGGACCAAATGAGGTCACTGGTGCTATTTAAAATCATTTTAAGGTTTTTTTGTCACCTCATGAAGTAATTTTGGTTTTCAGACCAGTCCATGTTTTCATCATGGATAAGTTTTATTGCTCTGGTTTATTCCAAAAATGACACAGACCTTGTGTGTTTTATCACTAGTTTTATAAATCAAGGCATGGTATGATGAGGTACGTTGTCATGTAAGACAGTTTAAATTTAGGCATCTTCTTGCTTCAACAGTTTTAACAGCAATCAGGCAATCCATCTGGTATGGAAGGTGAAAGCAAGCTCAGCCTCTGAAGCAATTAGGTAAATCAATGCTAACTAAGGAATTAGTAAGGAATTAGGAATATATATACATATATATATATATATCTCAATGTCGTTAGACTGGAGGGGCTCACGCTCTACTGTGCCAATAGAAACAGCAAACTCAGCGGTAAGACTAGAGGAGGAGGGCTCTGTGTGCCTAGAGAGTTCACTGTTGTTAGCATCACTGCTGTGTATGTCCCCCCAGCACTAATACAAAAGAGGCCATGAAGACTCTAAACCAGGCTGATTATCTCTGAGCTTCAATCTGCACACACAGAGGATGTTTTCATCATTGGTGGTGATTTTAACCATTGAAGACGGTACTGCGTTATTTTTACCAACTTGTGGACTTTGCAACTTGAGGAAAGAACGTTCTAGACCTCGCTTATTCAAACTAAGAGCAGCCCCCACCTCGGGTCGTCAAATCACCTATCTGTCATGCTAATTCTTTCATATAGGCTGCAGCTTATCCGATTTAAATCAACAGGGAAGTAGGTTTGGGTGTGGACTGAAGGGGCCATGGAGAAACTCCAGGACTGTTTTGAATGCTCGGACTGGAACATGAACAAAGCTGCAGCAACCTATGATAATACGATCAATATCGATAAGTATGCCATGACTATGTCAGCCTATATCAACAAATGCATTGAGGATATTAGCACCACAATCATTAACTAATGACCCTGCATGACTGGGGAGATTCGGAAATCACTAAAGTCAAGGAACTCAGCCTTCAAGTCTGGTAACAGAGATGCACTGATGACAGCGCGAGTCAACTTGAACCGTGGCATCAGATCACCAAAGCAGAACCAAAGCTTTAAGATACAGGATCTTTTCCATGACGCCAGCAACACCAGGAGGATGTGGCAAGGTATATGGGCTATTGCACACTACAACACAGCCTCCTGCCCTCTCCATTTAAAAAAAATGCACATAAACAACCCTGTACCCGCTCCCGAAAGGAAACGTCTATTAAACGAGATCAAGAGCATGCAGAGTTGAGTTTAAGAGTTGCTGTTTGCATCGCTCAAACAGCTTATTTTCCAAAAGAAGATTTGCAAATTTTCCACTATGTCAAATCCGCCACCGGTAAGCGAAAATGGGGAGGATCACGTAGGAAGACCTTACGTAAACGTATCACCAGAATGATTGACGGTTAGGAGAACTACCCAATGAACCACCCAGAAAAAAAAACATCCTCCACTATACCCTTAAGTGTGATGGAAAAAAACTTAGAAACCGTGTTTAATCTTTTGACTCTATACAACAACACTTATATATATAGGTAATAGAAAGTATAATATATCTCATTTATTAGGGTGATTCCAGGTTTTTCTATTTTGTGTTCTTGTTTTGATAAATATTTGATTGTTATGCATTGTTTTCCTAATTAGCTTAAAAGCAAATTTCTATCAATTGTTCCATCTAGTAAAAAAAAATCGTTCATATTTTTGATCAGCTTGATAAACACCTGCTTTCCTAGTATGACTCATTTTCTGGAGGAGCTGTTTTACATAAACAGGGAAAGACGGTTAATAAACACTGACTGGAAATGGAGCTGATTATTACATTCCAGAGCCAGTTACCGGTACCTGTCTGTCAGTCTCCCGGGCTGGGGAGTGAGGCAGGCGAGGTGTGGAGTGTCCAGAGCTGGGGGGGGACGGGGAGGCCAGGGTGGAGGACGTGATGGACGATGGAATGAAGCCTCGTCCTGTGCTGTCTCTGCCTAAGGACGAGGGAGGGATGGGTGGGCTGTCCAACGCCACGCTGACCCGGCTTTCGATTTCCTCGGCTCGCAGCTCTGTGTTCTCCTTCTCCTCTTGGATCAACCTGGTTTTAATTAAAAAAGAGCAGAAGAGCATGAAATCTTTAAAGAACTTTAAAAAGGAAATAATCCACAACAAAATATATTAATCCTAAATCAAAAATGAGCTTCAGTATTAACATTTTTATAAATCTTTAACTAACGATCAGCATTTTCCCAATATATGCAGTATCACAGAGTTTCTGATAAGGCTTTTAGGATCATGTAGATGATTATATCAAGCTGGTACAAGTTTGCAGGGAGTTGTTTATTTCAGCCTCCCTCTTTCATACTTGATCTCCTTATTGATGGCCTCCAGCTGTTCCTGCAGCATGATGGCCAGGGTCTGCACGTCTTTCTGTCCGCTGGGAGAAAGCAGTTCAAAACGATGTTCGTCCTCTTCGTCGTCAGAGCAGCCCACGTCCATGCTCTGCTCGTACCCGGTCCCCAGCAGAGCCCCGCTATCCCAGTCTGGGTACTAGGCAAAGAGAAACAAACCAGAAGATTTTAACACCGTGAACTGTGAATTGCCTAAGGGCTCACTCTATTTTCAAATTTTTATACACCTGGTACACAAGAGTAAACATGAGAAGATGTATTTCTTTTGTGAAACACCATGTATCCTGTCTTTAAACTATGATGCCCACTTTTGCTCTGAATCGTTAATATTTACGTTTGATTAATTCGTATGGTTAAGCTATGTCAGGACTTGCTACTTTATGGTTGTATTGAATCACTGCTGTGAATTATAAGTCATAGTTACATTAGATCCAGGCTTCTCAGGCATACAGTGGGTAGCACTGCACCACTGAGCAGGTTTGGGGTTTGATTTCTGGCCCGGGGGTATTTCTGCATGGAGCATGTTCTCCCTGTGCATGTGGGAGTTCTCTCCGGGTACTCCGGCTTCCTCCCACAGTTCAAAAACATGACTTTCAGGTTAATTGGTTTCTCCAAACTCTTTTTAAGTGTGAGTGAATGGTTGTTTTTTCTTGTTTATCTCTGTGTTGCCCTGCGATAGA